CAAACCTAGTGAGGATAGAGGACTGGAGAGCTGCTCACCTCCACACTGGATGGACACGCGCACCAGTGGGAAGATTGAAGAAACACCTGGAGTCTGATGTATCCTGCTGCCTGCAGGGAAGGAAAGGTTCAGACTGTATGAGGAGTTTAAATTTCTGGGCACCGGGAAATGATTGATGGCAGCTGAGAAAAAGAGATAAGAGCAAAGACAGGAGAAGACTAAATTTCCACTTTCTCCGTGAATCTAGTGTATGTGTTAGCACTGAATTATCACAAACACTGGTTAAACCAACACGCACTTATTAGGTTTAGTTCTACAGAGCAGAAGACTGCAGAAGACTCTCAACTGGGTTTTCTTCTTATGCACCTACAAGGCTGAAATCAGGACATTAGCTGTGCTGTGCCTTTATTGGAAGTTTCCGGGCAAGAGTTGGCTCATTCAGGCTCAGTCACTCAGGGTCCTGGCAGGACCGGTTTCCTTGTAGAAATAGCACTGCAGTCCCTGTTCACAAACTGGCTATCTTCTGGTGGGCACCCCATGAGCATCCTTCCCTAGGTGGTATCTGTCTTCAAAGAAATGGTCATACACAAATCCTTTCCATATCTGAAATAAACAACCTTCTCTGCCATCAATCAAGTGAAAATTTTCTGATTTTAAAGTGTCCCTATGATGAGATGAGGTCCACTCAAAAATGTCCTCTTACTGAGCTCAACTGATATGCCCACTCACACTTGTGATACCCCTTTGCTACTTAGGTTAATTATGCATGTGACATCAAGTAGTTGAGATTATTCAGGTCACCCTAAATTCTCTGACTTTATTGTCTCATGTGTGATCCATGCTTGAGCCTATGCATGATCTGTGCATGAATAGGAATTGTACATTGCTGTTATCAATGTTGGTGACTTCTAAGAATTCCAGTGATTCAGAAGGCCAAGAAGAAAGGTATTTAATAAGTTTCTCTTTATGGGCACTGTAGAATCAGGAGGGCTTACTGAGTCATTGTGAATCCCAGGCTTGGGATTGAACCTCAGTAACAATAAAGATTATTTGTCAAAGGGGGCAAAGATCTTATTACATAGACAAGAATCTACTGAGTCAAAAGATACTTGAGTTACATATTTATAAATGTTCAATAAGTGTTGTCCATAGAAATAAAATGAAATGTAGAAGTTGCAATTACTTTATACTGATCAGAAAAGATGTATCAACAAAAATATGATTTGCATATAATACCTATTTAACTCAAAGAGGTTTCTCTTTCACTTGACTCAGTAAATAAAGGAAAAATCCAGAGCTTCTAAAAGTCCTGGTGGGAGCTCAGGAAATCTAGACAAGGGAATATATGTGTGAATGTATATGTATATCTGTATAGATAGATGATAGATAGATAGATGGATGGATGGATAGATAGATAGATAGATAGATGAAATTATCTCTCAATAAGCAAGAGTAGAGTTCATTTCTGGATCACTGATCCAAAAGTTATGTTCTTGGCTAGCTAACATGGTACTTAGAAAAAGGTCATATATATATGGGAAAAAGTCAAAAGACGATAGTGGTGCTTGAGAAAAAGATGCTCCTGAAAATTCATGAAAGATGATACAGAGAATCATTTCTCACAACTAATAACATGAAGGTCACTTATGGTCTTCACTAAAGCAGTCTCTACTCTGTAGAGGAGACAGATGTCACCTTAAAGTGTTCGTAGAGTGAGTGGAAACCAAAGTAGTGAGAAATGTGTGAATTGAAATCTATAATTTTGCTGAAAGAGATTAGAAAAATGGGAAACAATTTTGAAGGGGGCTATTGGATCAAACATTTCTCTACATTTTTAAGGTGGGAGCTACTTAACCATGCTGTATAGTCACAGCAATAAATTACCAGATAGAGAGACACCAATGATGTAAAAATGTGAGGTGACAATTAAGGCAGAGAGATTAAGGATAGGATAGGATATATATGGTGGTAAGATTTAATATTTTCTATTACTATATCTATAGCCCAAAATTGTAAGTCTTTTAGAGTTACCAAAATGGTAGCTATGCACCCAGGATTATCCATTCACTTGAAAATTTAAGAAAATTTTGAAACATTTTGTTTCTCAAGCAACAATCATTATTTGCAAATTAAAGTCTGTGACCTCTTGACCTAGGCCTTTATCGCAGGTGTTTTAATCCCTGAAACCTCTCTAGCAAGCGTGCAGTGATTGCTGCTCTTTTAATTTGTTTTCAGAGTAATAAGCCTTGGCAGAGGCTTAGAATAAATTTTTGAGCTGGTGCTTCCCAATACTCAGGTATCCTAAAGAATCCTTAAAAAGGATTGACTTAGAATGAGTGTCTGCTCCTCTGTGCTTCCTCAACATGAGCGATAGGAAGGATGCCTTCCTATATCTGAATTGTACTGAGAAATGTAAAGATCATAGCCATGTACTTTTTTTTTCTCATAAGCTCTACACATGAAGTGATCCTTGGAGGCATCCTCTAAATCTCAGTGACACGGTACTCCTAACTGCCCACATCTGCACATCTTGACCTCTTGTTCCTCCTTGGCCTCCCTGGACCTGTTTTCTGCTTGCTATATTCTTGTCCTTCTCTGTACATATCTTACCCTTCTTTGAAGGACTAAGAGTATTTCTTATGAACGTTTTCCATCTGTGTCTGTAATCTAAAGATATTGCCAAACTCTAGTCAACATAATTTAAAGCAAATAGCTTTATATTTATCTTCCTAGTGATATGTATTTATAAAAATATGGATACACAAGATGATACAAAATTAGAAGCATGAATCAACCCATATTTGTTACTCAGAAATAACTATTATTAACAATGTCTTCTTGGGTATCTCTCCATAAATTTTCTAGATTCAAAAATTATGGGTAAAAGCACAGAATATGTATTGTTTTATAATTTTTAATATAATAGTATAACTTGAATAATTTCCCATATCAGTTATTTTACTAGATGGATGTACTCATTAATTTGGGAAATTCTAAAATGCAAAAAGATGCTGTCCAGACAAATTTTCAATTTGCCTTGGACCACAAAAGAGTTATGGCAACTGATTCTGTTTACCTACAAAATGAAGGAAAAAGTGATTCTTTTCCACTTTCTAAAAGGAAATTGACTCTTAATCTTCTTGTTACAGCTACTAATTTTGACATAAAAGACAAATTTACTGAGATCATTTTGAGACTAACATAAAACGTGACATGCAAGCTATCAATTCTTTGACTTCCAGTAAATTTTAGAAAGTTCTGCCTGAGAATGCAGTGAATGAGTCCTCTGTCTCAAAGCAAACCAGATTGATGACAAGAACTGTTCCAAAGAAAGGGATCTGGAATCATTTTAGTGGCATTTAAAACCTAAAGATAACAAATGTTAATAAGTATTTTAAATACAAAAATCTCTATATTGTACAATGTAAATCCCATTTAACATTATAAAACATTTCATTGCCTTTTGAAAAAATTACATCCTGAGAATAAGATTTGTGTCTCAAACATGTCTGTAACTGTAGGTTACAATGTAGGTTGAAATAATCTGTTCTCATTCAATAGTATCTAATTCTACTTAAAGCTGTTTCAAAATTAACATTAAAAACATTCTGGAAGCAAAAGACAGAATAATTCATGAATTTTAAATGACCTAATTAATCAGATTCTTCCCTCTTATTGCCACGTGCAGTGTTATAGATGTTGGGCTGAATAATATGTGCAGTGATTTACCTTACATCTTTCCATAGTCATTTTACACATAGATTGCAAACTTTAGTGTATAGTACTTTTATACCTTTGGAGTTAGACTACCAGGTGGAAGGGAATAACTCAATTGAATAATCTTTGCAAGGAATGGGCCTGGGGGAGAACTCAAAGTATTTGATACCTAGCATCTTCACAGGGCCATGTAATGAGCAGGTATGTCACAGAGCACACCTTGGTCAGGTAGTCAGGTGGGCTCAGTTGCTCACTCTAAGATACATCTGTCAGCCTCACACCTTCACTGAACACAATCCCAAGAGCATGGAGAGGTGGCCCAAACTCCCCAGCTTCCTTAAAACTTTCATCTCACTTTTGATATCCATAAGTATTTATAAATATCTTTGTATTCATGTTTATTCACAAAAATTACACATGTACATTTATCATGTACAACATATTTTGAAATATACATATCTTGTGGAAAGGCTCAGTTGAGCTAATGGACTCGTGACTTTTTTCTGAGGTGAGAACACCTCAGAAATCTACTTTCTAACATTTTTGAACTCCCTGGAGTTTTAGCACAGTCAGTCTTTTGAGAAGAAGGAGTTCATAATATTTAAAAAATCATAATTGACTGCAAGAAGAGATTCTTTGAAGTAACATAATTATTGTTCAATTATTTATTTGGACAGAAGGTGCAGGTTTTTTGCTGTTGTGAAGTATTACTACCCATGTTAATGGTCTGAATAAGTTTGGGGTTGGCCTACTGTGGTACTCTACTTAATTGTCTTATCGTTCGACATAAATGCTGAGAGTTGTTTTCTTTGCTTCCAGTGATTTCCCAGTTAGCTTATTTTTTGAGGAAGTTCTGTGCCAGGTGCTATCCCTCTGAATGTTATTCTAGGTGTTTCTGACTACTATTAGAGCCCAAAGGGTCAAGGCTTCAGGGATTCCATTCTCTGCTCAGTGGAACTAAGAAGTTAAATGTGGCTTAAACATACAGTTAAGATAAAATTTGCCTTCCAGAAAGATTAGTTATGTGGCACATAGAGTATGCATAAGGTGATGGTAAAGTCTGGGAAAAGATGAAAAGTCAAAGATGTGGTACCTCACTGGGAAGAGTAAGAGTCAAGAGGGACTGTGGATAATGGTTGGATTTGTGACTGTGTGCAATGATAACATTCATTGAGTTGGAAAAACACCAGGAAGCTGGACAACATCTTGGGCTAGGGTGATATAGTGGCTGTGAGTGGCTGTCATAGTCAGGGGTTGTACAGAGAACAATTAGAATCAGGACGTGGAGTTTATAATATTATTTTTATGCTGATCACCCAGAGTTAACACAAGAAGATGTAGGAAATCTATCCACAGCACTAAAATATAGAATATTCAGCCAAAGGCCTGAATCCCACAGCAATGTCTCACATGAGTCCAGATGAAAATCCAAAGGTCATGACAATGAATCCCATGAGTTCAGCTGGAGGCCCAGAGCCCACAAGAAGGCCTCATACCAGTCTCTTTTATGGATCTGTGCTGAGAGGTCCCAAAGGTCAATGTGGAAACTAGAAAGTCTATGCCAGGAGGGTGAAGGAATGATGCTGGTGGGTTGAGGGTTCTACACTGGAGCTGAGAAGTCACACTCACAGCAAAGACCAGGGCTGTCCTGAAAAGCACCACAGCCATCCTCAGTGACGTGGAAGCCCTGAGCTCCCCGACAGCAAGCACAGTCAAGAACCAGCCAGGAAGCCAGCATGACTAGCTCCTTCTGGAGATCAAGTCTTCCTCTCTGAAGCCAGGAAGCAATGCTCAATGTGCTAACCAAAGCTTCTCCAGGAGAACCTAACGGCCCCAACAGCAACACATAGGAGAACCCACAATACTTCAACATCTCAATGCCTTAACACTTCAAAGCATCCCCTTCTCCTTCTCTACATCTCCATTTATGCTGGCAATCTTCCTCTGGTGAAACATCTGTGCTCTAAAGCTTGGTAATTCAAGTCTTCTGGCGTTGAGTTGACCACCAGTTTTTAATCCATAATAGGTACTCTACTGAAATTCAAACTAGGCAACTTTAAAAGATGGCATAGAGTCTGTACTGTATTATAGAGCATCAGAAATTCCTACACTAAAATATAAAGTGGGAAGAAAGTTACTGGAGTATTATGGGAACTGAATTCATAGCTAACCCCTCAACTTTTAGCAGACAGTACAAGATCTAAGACTTCCATGACATTCTGATCCTCAAAAGTCTTAACTTCTGAAATGTTTTTATCCAAGAAGTTTGCAGTTCTGTGAGAATTCAATATACACACTAGAGAATGTGTAAAGGCAAATAACTTTCATAGACTAGGAAGCTATAGTGAATAAGGAAACTGAACAACAGAAGCAATTGTCTAAGTCATTCAAGCTATTTTTTTGTCTTGTATTTCCAAGCACTGTTGGCAGTCCCCAAAAAATATTAGCAAAGAGAGTTTCCCCTTCAGAATGCACCTTCAGAGTAAATTTCTACAGGTCAGATTGCTCTTCAATAGCCTCCTTACTCAAATAGCATAGACTGTAATCTCCTAGAACCAGCAATGTCAATATCTATTTATATCTCCCTGAGAATCCAGCACTGTGCTCTAGAAAGGCTGCTCTCTTCCCTTCAGGTGCAGCTTAGGATATGCAATATCCACAAGATGCTTCAGGGCTGGACAAACAGGCAGAGTCTGTTCCTGATAACTCATGCTAGAGTGAGATGTACCTCTCCATAGACTTACCATAGAGGGTGACTTCCGGCGCCATTCCCTGTTATAGGCCCTAACTCAGGGATTCATTATTAAAATTCAGTAACAGGGGATCGTGTTTTCTTCTTCCGTTTCAGCTCAAACACAAGGTAGCACCTTAGCTTTATGTAGGTTGAGAAATCCTGGTTTACCCCTAAGGAAAATCTGAGAGCAACTTCTTCTCACTGTTCTGCCTTTGCTTTCTATTCTTGGAATGCAAAGACTTGCAGGTACAGAGCTAAGGAAAGTCACATCGCCAAACTATATTCTTTAGTGTGAACAGAGAGCGGCCCTATGCGAATATGTAAATGAGGTGAAATCCGTTTCATATCCTTACTCAATTTGTCAGTGCTAGTTGATTCTTCACTCTGTTTTTCCTTAGACTCTAGTACAGCCTGGAATGGTAGCACCTGATATAATCTCTCCTTCCTTTTCTGGGGCAGCTCTGTGCATTTTTTATTAAAAGTTAATTTGTTTGGTGAAGGAGTTAGGTGATGTTCCACTGGGCCATCTAGCCACCCATGGTATCTACACATAAATTTGATCCAGGTATTAATGGAGAAAACCACTGAAAAGTGTAACTTTAGTCTGCAAATAATTTCCTTCTCCAAACTTAGTATTTTTACATCTTTGTCCTTAATTAAAATTTCAGTGAAACCCCCAAAAATAAAATTTTCAAATATAAGCACTTATGAGATACAAACTTCATATGCTTGCATTACTGTGGGTTCCCAGTAATGGTGGAATTTAAGCCATGAAGTAAAATTTTTCACTTGTGAAAAAGCAGGAAGTAGGGTTGATGGCAGATAGGCTCTGGTATATCAGGAGCAGGAACAACAGTCCTGTCCTTTCAATGTTCCTACTCTGGATAAAGAAATATGATTCTGTAATACTGTGTAAATAATTGTGGCTGACTACACTTTTCACAATTTTCCATAAGAAAAGCCCAAAGCTTTGTGGGTCCTCAACCCAGGAAACGCTTAATAAAATCCCTTCAAATATAAATCAGTATTGTGATTAATAAATTGGTGAAGTAGAACCATAACTAGTTTAAGTTAAAACTAAGTAAAAAAAAATATAATAAGTTTTCACTGGCTTCCTGTTTTATACTTGAAAGACAGATTCAGAGTCCATGTCCTCCCTCTTCGGTTGATCACACCGGTTAGGCCTCCCCTCCCCTTCTTATCATCCAGAAATATTTTTAGCATTCTGCCTCTCAGCTCAAGTGGCCACATCCTTCCCTGATCACAGCTGCTCCTAAATAGTTTCTGGCTGTGCTGCAGGAAGACACAGTGTCCCAGTGGCATGGCCCGAGGTGCTCTTCTCTTGCGAAAGGTCCACGCCGACCTTGTCTGCACTCCGGTGACTCTGTCCCTGCCCTTGCTGCCTGTCTTGGCTGAGGTGTGGGCCTAGCAGCAGCCGCTGATCCGGGTTTGCCTGCTGGTATCTGATCAACTGCTCTTGGGTCTCATTCTCGGGCGGGTGCACCTGCTGAGTAGAAGAGCCCGGATCACAGGTGTGGCCCTGGGACCCGAGGCCAGCAGTACTGGGCGCAGGTACAGCAGCCTCTTCCTCCCGAGCTGCGCGGAGGTGGCCGAGCTTCCTTCTGGACACTCCATCCAGTGTCTGGTGTGGGAGCCGGTTCAGTCTACCCAGCAGGACCTGCATTCTCATATCTGTACAGACAAAGTTGGGGGAAAGTGAACTTAATTTTCAGTCAGTTGATTAAACATTTTGCATATTTAGCATACTTAACATATTTAGCATACTTAGCATATTTAACAACAGGCTGTTAAGTAATGACATATTTAATTACATCTGCTCAACAATTTCCAAATACCTTCAGAAAGCATTTTTTTTTCTAGAAAGAAGTACTGTATCCCAAGCTCAGTTAGCAAGTAATGGTCACTATCCAATAAAAAATTTATAACCCTGCTTATAAGAAAAACACTGTTAAGGTGTTAAAAACACAGTAAAGATTTTTTATTTGTATGCAGCAAGGCTTAAATTTTTTTTAAATTTTATTTAAAAGGAAAAAGAGAAAAACACAAAACAAAACAAAGCAGTGTAAGGGTACAAGTAATACAGAACTACAAAAAAAAAAAAAAAACAGTAAGAAATCACCTGTTAATAGATTACATATTATCATCTTAGAAATAGTTGCTCAAATCACAGTATCAAAAAATACAAAGTGGACATTCAAACAGAGAGACTGCAAACAGCTGTGTTCAATGATCCAACAACATTAATATAGTCAGCTATTTAACACCCCTAAACACACTTGCTGTTATATCCATTAGAGCTCTTTGTTTTCCCCTCTCTTTTTTGAGAATCAGACCAGAGCCAGGCCTCACCACTGGGCAACCTATATCAGCACTCTAAACTCTAAAAACCAGACTTATCTAAAAATTTAGCTTTTATACCAAATTTAAAATATTTTGATTTTATAAAAATAGGTATATGAACATGTGGAGATAATATGAATATGTAAATATAGAAGTATTTATGTAAGTGTGTGCACCTGATTGTATAATATAACAAAAAAGGTACATCAAACTCTAATTGTAAAATTGGAATTGAAACTCCCTTTCTCTTGCTAAATGGCAGTATGATTTCCATTTTTTTGTTTTTTGGTTACTGGGGATTGAACTTACAACCTCACACTTGCCAGGCAGGCACTTATGCTACTGTGCTAAATCCTAGGCTTATGATTTCCATCTTATCACCTAACCTTCCAAGGCTTTAGCTGCAGAATTTAATAATATTCTTAGACACAACTTATGAAAATATATTTCATTTTAGAAATCTTGTTTTACTTATTTTCTTTACTTGACATTTCATTTATATTTTCTTATTAAAATAGAATTAAAAATCACTTTAGAAATGTATAACATTGATAACCTAAAGCATTCTTATCCTGGTCTCTCTCAGTTCTTTAAAGGATGTTCAAGCACTTAAAAAGGTAATCTTATCAGATTTAAATGAGTTAACTAAAATCTCATGTTGCTGAAGCAAAAATGATAGAATTTTACTGACATTAGTGAGTCCAAAATATTTGTTTATGTTAAGTGTGTAAAACATGGCCACCAAAAAACTGTGCAATGTAGAAGCTAATAGGTTACTTTTAGAATCAAATAAATGTAGTTAGATTTCCTGTTGCTGTTTTATTTGCTGAACATATAAATTATCAATTTTCTCTCTGTACCTCAGTTTCCTCATGTATAAAATACTAACAACACTAGTATCTATTTCATAGACTTGTTGGAAGATTAAATAGATGAAGCATTCAGAACTCCACCCAGACATGGAAAATGGTAATGATTATAGCTATAATGGCCATTATCATGACATTTATTATCATTATTTAAATAGTTTATGACAAATATGCAGATCTGAAAAGAACTTATTTCAGTGCTCAATTCTCATTCATTTGATCCTCAAGAGTCTGATACTATTATTTTCCTAACTTTACAGATAAATAATAAAAGTATGGCTAGGTCTGGGGGTGCCTGCCAGTAGACCCATTTACTTGGGAGACTGAGAATGGAGGGTTTCTTCCTCCCACATGTTCAAGGCCAGCCCAGACAACACCATGATACTCCATCTTTAACAAATGAAATAAATGTATAAAGATTTACTTGACTCAGCTGTAAAATTTTATGAGTGGATATAGGCTCAAATTTAGTCTAGCTCAAACACCATATATTAACCATTCAACCTAATTAAATGATTCTATCAAAGTACGTTTTTCAATGTCTACAACTTGCCTTAATAAAATATACCATGAATTAATATCCTTATACTGTTTTAATCTCACACAAAGAGAAAAATATGCAAATTTACATTATAATAAATTGACATGCAATATGGATAAGATAGATTACATGTGTCTAAATTTAGGAGGTCTTTTCTACAATATTTACTTTAACAATTTAAAGTAATATTTACATAGCAATGACAGCAGTTAACATATTTATCACCACTGATCACATATATATTTATAATATGTATAATTGAGTCCTAAAACCACATGCTGTAGTAAATGCTATTACTATATATCTTCTTTAGAAAAAGGCAATTAAGACACAGAAAGATTAAGTAACTTCCCAAGACCACAAATAAAGCACTGGCAGATCATCCATATTTCACTTAGCTCATGATTTTTGGCTTCAAAGTTTGTGCTGTAAACTAGAGATAATACTTGATAAAGTGAAAGACAGCAATAAAGACTTCAGAAGAACATTGGCTGGATGGACGCATGGCAGCGTGCTGCACATACATAGGTCACCTTTCATATGCCTGTGTTGAAAGCAGAAGGCTGAGACCCCACCTAAGCTCTTAGGTGATAAATGGTAACATTTGTCATCTACATTTCACCTATTTTTCATGTACCTCACCACCAAATTAATTCACCAGTCTTTTACACATGATGTATGTGCTAATTTATTAACCTGTGTATTACTTTCCTCTCAGTTTATTGGGAATTTTGGCTGTGTTTGGAGTCAGTAATCGAGACTGTATCATACTTCATGAAACAGAGGGTAGACAATACCATACTCCTACTTCCTTTTAATGTAACAGTGAGTGACATTGATGCTGTGATACAAAAAGTTAAATATACGCAAATGCTTTTTACTTGAAGCATTAAAATGATATTAAGTAATCATGGTAATTATACTACTCCTGTCCTGTAACGCATGGATTAATAGTCTCTGAAGCCTACGTTCCTCACATCTCCTGCTTCCCTTTTGCAGTCTTTTTCTACCTTTTCTCTGGCACAGCTGCCTCCCCATGAGATGGCTCTCTTGCTTAGAGCTATAAGAACTGTCTGGCTACCTAGTTTTCCTATGGGATCTGAGAGTCCTTCAAGAAGTGTTTCTTGACAGCTCAGCTACATTGATTTATGCCTCAATACTTGTTGACTGGAGTTTCTCATTTGACCTGTGCAGCTGCCTCTATTACTGGGGATTGTCACCTTGCCTTGTGACAGTCCCATCGTCCTCTTACGAATTAGAGCACCTTCAAGGAATGAATTATTTTGCACCATCAACATCATCTCCTTGTTATGCCCACTCATATACCAAGCCAAGCATTTCCTGTCATCTCCATAATAACTACTCTCACCAGGAGGAAAAAGCCATAGTTTGTCAGGATCAGCAAATAACCAAAGAACAAGAATAATAAATTACCAAGTAGAAGCAAACTTTAAAAAGAAACAGAGTCTTTAAATTTTAATCCCTTGGTAAAACCAACAGCACTTCATATAAGAGGAATAAAACACTACAAGTCACCTATTTTAAATCCATTGAAGATACTGTTGTCCTGTTTTTCAGAGACCTTCATTGAAAATCTGTCCCCCCTTGTTCTTCAAGTCTGCATCTATTCATAAAAGACTAATGCGAGGCTAGCTTTCTTTTGCAACCCCAAAAACATTTAAAAATCTCCCATGAATTATTTACATGGCAGATCCAATCAGCAACATACCTGACAGACTCCCAGCTGAAATGAAAGTTCACTGTGTAAAGGTGCCCAGGGAGGGCGGCCACCTCCCACTGTGAGGTTATAGACAGAACTAAGTCAGCACACATTATATGTCAGTGCCGACATCAGAAAGAATCAGTTCCTTTGATCTCAGACCTCCACAGGAAGCTTAGATCTCAGACAAATTAGATAAAAAATGAATTTATAGCAGATATGTGTCCTAAGGCATTCTGCTGAATATTTGGGTTTTAGGAAAGGAAGGGTAGTGAGTATCAAAACATATGAATTAATATGTCTCCTTCCTGTCTCTGCCTTGCTGATGAGTTCCCATTAAAAAGAAAGGAGGGAATTTCAAACTGCCCCAGACCATGTGTCTTAGCATCCCATTGGAGGGTTCAGTAGAGTTTTAGGGGAAATGAGATAAAATATGGAAATGATCCCTTCTCTAGCAGAAAGGATGACTCACCCACTTGGGGACTTTTTAGATAGATATTCTATACTTACTGTAAATCCATCCAGGTTTCCGAAATTCCTATTGACTTTCAAAACATTCTAGAGCAACAGACACCATAACCCTGATTTATAAAATGTCTTTGTTAGTCCGTGGCTTCTTTTATAACTAGAACATTAAAATGAATAATCCCTCTTTCCCTAACTTTCTCCAAATTGTTTTAGGTTTTTCCCAACTCAATTCAATGTATAGTGTTCAGTGTTGAATAACTTGCTTTCAGCATGGCAGGCCCAATGTGGCTACCATCTGTGAGCCTCCACAGGCACCAAGGCAGAGAGACGGTCAGTGATCATCCAACAAAAAGTTCATTCTCTATGATTTATTAATAAAGATGACATCTTGCTAATTAGAGAATATAAATGCAGTAATTAACAAATACTATTGCCTGTGTTCTATCTAAATTATTTACTTTGAAGTGGAGGATTGTCATTTAATATAGTTGGGTTATTTTCCTTAGTGTGCCTTATATTCTTGTGTCATTATCACATTGTCTTAAGAACAGTAACAGGAATATAATCTCTCTGCTAGAGTCACTGACATAAAATCAACTTATTTTCAAATATTAGTTCTCTATCACTAATGTTTATGTTCTGATGAACTTTAGAATCATTTTATATCATTTCCCATTGTGCGAACTAGTTGAAACTACATTAAAACAAAGTTAATTTAGTTATATCTTAGGTC